ACAGAGCTGTTGCAGACATGAATTCACAGCCACTGCGGCTACCTGTACAAGATCAAGCCAGTCAAAATTTCAGCATGAAGTGGGGAGGGGATTCATGAGACCCCACCCCTAGCTGAGGAGCTATTGGCAACTGATGGTGGCTGAGGGAGAGAGAGTCATTTTTCTTTGAGGAGGTGACTGCTTGTAAGTAGCTCATGCTCCACTGGATATAGGCAGCACTAATTAGAGGCAGAAGGATTTTTTTTTGCAGAAGGGGAAGAAGAGGAGGAGGAGGAGGAGGAGAAGGAGGAGGAGGAGGAAGAGGAGGAGGGAAATGGGGAATGAATACGATCATATTACATCATATACATGCATAAAATTATCAAAGAATTTCTAAGTGAAATGATTAATTTTCACAAAAATTGAACTAGAGATCATCGTGTTAAGTGAAATAAGACTCACCAAGACAAGCATCATGTTTTTTTCTCACACAGAAATTAAGTAGGGAAGGGATATGAAGGAAAACTGGGACTGTTAGGGCTGTAGATAGGGACAGGGAGGAGGGGATGAGAAAGGGCCATCGTGGATTTGAATATGATCAGAGAGTGTTACACTCATATATGGAAATGTCATCATGAAACCCATTACTTTGTGCAGTTAATATATGTTAATAGCAAATAAAGGAAGGAAATCCTGAAAATAATCTCACAAACCCAAACTCCCAACATTCCATCCATTATAGCTAACAGAAATTGTATTGCTTATCACTTTACAAATGGCAGAGCATAATGTTTACGCATCCAGATTCCAAAGGCAAATCCCAGCACTTGGGAAGTGGAGGAAGGAGTATTAAAAGTTCAGGGTCATCCTCAGCTACGTAGTGAGCTCAAGGCAAGCCTGGACTACAATTGACCCCATCTCAAAAAAAAAAAAATACTTGGATGGGGAGGTGACTCAGTGGGTAAAGGGTTTGCTGTGTAAGCATGAGGACCTGAGTTCAGATCCCTAGAACATACATTAAGCCATAATGCATGTCTGTAGCTCCAGCACTCCTACAGCAGCAACCAGAAGCTTGCAATCCAACTAGCCTGGTGTAGGCACTGGTGAACAACAGTAGACCCCTCACAAGGTAGATGACGAGGACCAACTCCTGGAATTGTCTTCTGACCCCCAGGCTATGGCATACACATGCGAGGGGGGGAGGGAGGG